TGGACAACAAAGTGAGAATGCCCGAGCCCGACAGCCTCAAACCAACCGACCAGCCCAAAGAAACCGAGGAAAGTACGAAGAGCACAGAAAACGACTCGGGGAAACCAACGGGGAGTTCTTTGCTTCACAAGTCTCCAAATCCTTACAAACCACGCATTCCCTTTCCGAGTAGACTCCGAGACGAGAAGCAAGAGCAACAGTTTCGAGATCTCTACAACATGCTAAAGGTCAATGTCAACCTACCTCTCTTGGACGTGATCAAGAACATGCCTTCTTACGTGAAGTTCTTCAAGGATTTGGTCACGAAGAAGAGGAAATTCGGAGATGGGGAGAAGGTGGTAGTTTATGAGGCAGCGAGTGCCATGCAGCATGATCTTCCGAAGAAAGAATGGGACCCCGGAGGCTTCGTGATAAAGATTGCTCTTGGGAATGGAAAAGAGGCTTCGGGGATGCTTGACCTCGGAGCGGGAATCAACCTAATGCCGTTTTCTATCTTCCAGCGGCTCGGTTTAGGAGATTTGAGGCCCACTCGCATGTGTCTTTAACTCGCAGACCGTTCGATCAGATACCCCAAGGGGGTAGTTGAGGATGTCCTCGTTCGTGTGGGAAAGCTCATCGTCCCGGTGGACTTTGTAGTGCTCGATGTCGGAGACGTTCACGAGAATGGGAAGGACCATACCATCCTTCTCGGCAGGCCGTTTATGGCCACCACCAACACCCTCATTGATGTCAAGAACGGAACCTTGAACATGACAGTCCTAGGCGAGTCCGTGTCTATCTCTGTCCGAGAGGCCACATCTGGCCCCTCGGCGAACTATGTGGAGGAATGCGCCTTTATTGATGTGAGTGACCCGTTTGTGGAAGAGATTGCTATTCGAGAATTGGAAGAGAGGTCATTGCCCGACCTCGAAGAGGAAGAAGGACCGTTTGTTGAGCTAATGGAGGTCGAGGAACCGAGATCGAAGGTCCCACCAACGCTAGAATTGAAAGAGTTGCCTCGTCACCTCAAGTACGTTTTCCTCGATGATGAGAAACAAAAGCCGGTTATCATATTTGCCGAGCTTAATCAAGACGAAGAGAAGGAGCTGATCGAGGTGCTTAAGAAGAATCACAAGGCCATCGGTTGGGGCCTAGGAGACATTAAGGGCATCAGCCCTTCGACGTGTATGCACCGGATCGTTTTGGAGGAGGGTGCCAAACCATTTCGGGATAGCCAGCGACGGCTTAACCCGAATATGATGAAAGTGGTGAAAAAGGAAGTGTTGAAGCTCTACTCCGAGGGACTTATCTATCCAGTAGCTGACAGTGAGTGGGTCAGCCCCATTCATGTGGTGCCGAAGAAAGGGGGCATCACGGTGATCGAGAATGAAAAGAAAGAGATGGTCCCCACCCGTATCACTACCGGGTGGCGAATGTGCATTGACTACCGGCGGCTCAACGCCGTAACAAAGAAGGACCACTTCCCGTTGCCGTTCATTGATCAGATTCTCGACCGACTCTCCGGCCACCAGTTCTATTGCTTCTTGGACGGACTCTCGGGCTACTACCAAGTAGCCATAGCTCCCGAGGACCAGCCCAAGACAACTTTCACGTGCCCATTCGGCATATTTGCTTTCAAACGTATGCCCTTCGGCCTATGCAATGCACCCGAGACCTTCCAACGGTGCATGTTCTCTATCTTCTCTGATATGCTCGAGGACTGCTTGCAGGTATTCATGGATGATTTCTCAATCTTTGGTACCTCTTTTTCTGATTGTTTGCATAATTTAACTCGAGTTCTTGAAAGATGCATAGAGTCGAATTTAACTTTGAGTTGGGAGAAAAGTCACTTTATGGTGACTAGTGGAGTCGTGCTTGGTCATGTAGTGTCGAGTCGGGGGATTGAGGTTGATAAAGCAAAAGTGGATGTTATTGAAAAACTTCCCCCGCCTGTGAATGTAAAAGGTGTTAGGAGTTTCTTAGGGCATGCTGGCTTTTACAGGCGATTTATTAAAGATTTTTCAAAAATCAGCCAGCCCTTGTGTCACTTGCTTGCCAATGATGTGCCTTTTGTGTTTGATGATGCATGTTTAGATGCCTTTGATAAATTGAAAAATAAGCTTGTGACTGCTCCTATTGTGATTGCACCTGACTGGTCTTTGCCCTTTCAGATTATGTGTGATGCTTCGAACCTTGCTGTGGGAGCTGTTTTGGGCCAACGAGTTGATAAATTGCTTCGTGTAATTTATTATGCTAGCTTGACCCTAAATGGTGCCCAATTGAATTACACGACCACTGAAAAAGAGTTATTAGCTGTTGTGTTTTCTCTTGAAAAATTTAGATCCTACGTCTTGGGATCTAAAGTGATTGTGCATTCTGATCATGCAGCTCTTAGGTATCTTTTGAGTAAAACTCAATCGAAACCTAGACTTATTAGGTGGATTTTGTTGTTGCAAGAGTTTGATGTCGAAATTCGAGATAGGAAGGGTTGTGAGAATGTCGTTGCTGACCACTTGTCTCGCATTGTTCCTTCTGATCCTTCACTTGCATTACATGAGCATTTAGGCATAAATGATGATTTTCCATATGAGCATGCAAATGAAGTGGTTAGTGTGCCTTGGTATGCAGACATAGTGAACTATTTGTCAGATGGTGTTTTGCTGGCTAACCTCTCTTCCCAAGAGAGGAAACGATTTGTTTTGATGTGCAGGAGCTACTTTTGGGATGACCCAATCCTTTTCAAGATGGGAAAGGACGAGATTCTTCGGAGGTGTGTGCCCGAAGAAGAGCAACATGATGTCTTGGCCTTTTGTCACGAGCTTCAATGTGGAGGACACTTTGGGGGTCGAAAGACTGCTTTCAAAGTCCTCCAATCAAGTTTATTTTGGCAAACTCTTTTTAAAGATGCTTATAACTTTTGCAAATCTTGTGACCGCTGTCAAAGAATTGGGAATATTGGCCCAAAGAATGAAATGCCCCTTGTTAGCAATTTACAAGTTGAAATTTTTGATGTTTGGGGTATCGATTTCATGGGACCGTTTCCCAAATCTTTTTGCCGTAGATTACGTGTCCAAGTGGGTCGAGGCTATCCCCACACGGACATGTGATGCTAATGTGGTTATCAAGTTCTTGCAGAGTAATATCTTGAGCAGGTTCGGTTTTCCACGGGCCATTATAAGTGACGGGGGCAAGCATTTTTGCAACCGACTATTCGAAAAGTTAATGAAAAAGTATGGCATTTCACATAGAGTGGCCACCCCATACCATCCACAG